CTTTAGGGTGATTGCGTAATATGCGTGCACTATGACCTTTGACTTTTTACGGGTCATGCAGCTCTGTGCCGGCCGCCCTCCCACCCCTCGGCGTGCGTTTTATGGGAAAATTTCTACTTTTTTAGGGGTTTCGGGACCTAAAAACTAACACCAGAGGGAAAATAAACCACATACGTTATTTTCATGGTAAATATCGCTAAAATGGACCACGCATTTTTCTTCCGCGTTACCGATTTTTAAAAAGGCATCGCCGATAGCGACTCGCCTTCCCCCGTCCGGTTTTGTGAGCAAATTTCTGCTTTTTCAGACGTTTTGGAACTTAAAAACCGACAGCAGGCGAAAAATAAACAATATACATTATTTTCATGGGAAATGCCGCTATACTGGCCCAGACATTTATCTGTTGCGTTAACCGAATTTTGCGGCCGCCACGTGCGGTACGGTAGGGAATTTTCCACGGCTAGTTCGTAAACGCATCGGCTTTATAAACTTATTTTCGGGGTCGAGGGCTTTGTTTTACAAACCAATCAGACAATTAGCGTTGTTTACATGACTTAAAAACGCTAGCGGGGCGCCCGATGTTCCACCAATGACAGCGATTCTCTCGGTAGCGTCGTGCGAAATGGTCATTGTTAACTCGTTTATCGCCCATTCACAAGTTTCAGAAACAATGCCGACGGGAAAATGGACGCCACTCGCGTCAAGATTTCGATGTTTTTTGCCTATTTATCCGCGAAAATCACGAAGAGAAGACCCTTAATTTGAAAATTTTGGGAGTGGCGCTAGAAATTTTGGGAGTGGCGCACCGCCGTTGCACCATTGCCTGGGGAGACCCCTGATTAAGTGTGCAGTCCTGGCCTAACAGCTGTGAATGAGAGTTGTGGCAGCACAGGTGTTGCTGCATGTCTTGACTTGTTTTGAAGAATGTGTCACTGTCACCAGTGCATGCTTGTATCACGTGTGTTGTTGCATATGGCAGTTTGTTAGTTGTGTCCCTGTCCCCCACCCTGCATGTCGTTGTTGTGTGTTTTGTCACGTGAAGTGATGACATGTTTTCCTGGCACTGCCCTTGGTGCTGACCATGGCAGAGTGAAGGGGTAAGTATTTCCACTCCAACACTCATCTATCACACTTTTCTTCTTGCAGGGAATCTCAAAGTTTATTTGAAATTTGTGGAAAGTCTGGTCAGGGTTTTTAAAAAGGATCAAATTTCCAGGACATAGAAAGAGCATGCCTCTATTATTTAATGGTATCTGTAATGATACATGTGATACAAATGTTTTGTTCAACGTTTGCCCAGGATTCTTAGATCTAAATTCCTTTGCAAATTTAAAAAGTTACTGCTGTCCAGTAAAACAATGTGACTTGCTGAAAGATGTTTTCCATCTGTTTTTATTAATGTTTATGTTTGTGTTGTTTATCTGCAGAACCAATCAGAACCTGTTACATTTCGACACTGTGAACTTGAACCTGTCCTCAAGTTGGTTCACAGAACAAGGATCAGGTAAACAAGCCACTTGTTTCAGGCTTTGGGGCAGGAACACTGTCAGCTTCTGCTCCTATAGCTTCTGTTGGAAAAGGACCTTTGAACTTCTAGCTCCAAGTTAAGGTTGAAACTGAATTTGGGACAGCAATGCATGTTACTGAGAAAGGCCAATCTGTATGCTGCATGTGTGGTTGTATATCAGATAACTTTTGACCTACTCACCAGATGAAAAGAATATTCAGAGAAACATGTAATACTGTCAGGCAGTATACCTTTTGTCCAACACAACATGATGTAAACTCACTGTAAGAAAGTTTGACTAGTTCTTGTTTGTTCTGACCCTCTCTTCCTCCACCCACGCATGCAGCACTGTTTGACGGTGAGGAGACTGTAATCATGGATAAGTAGCCTCTCACCCAAACTCACAGCATGGAGGAGTAGTAGTGAACTTCGCTTTCCTCGGATAACAATATTTCTCTGTTTGCATGTTCTCTGTTGAAACAAAGCTTTATGGGAGAGTCTGGTTTCTTGTAGAAATGCCTGAGACAAGTACATCCTCTAATAGTTCCACAGAAATCCCCATCATCCTGGGTAGGACTGTTGTTAAAGAGTTTGAGTTTCCCTTCCAATGGCATTGCAGGCACAGACAGGCAAGGCAAGCACCATAGGGAGGGTACCAGGTACAATATGGGACACATGTTAAGATTGATAAGATTTTGTACTTCAGGCATACTTCAGGTGTTACCTGTGTGTCTCCTCAGGTGAGAACCAGCTGGACGTAGTGAACGTCACACAACTGGAGAAGGACACAGTGCTGGTGGCCTTCGACAGTAAGTCAACTCCACCTATACAGTGATGTAGCCATGTAAATTGTGTGATGTGTCTAAACATCAAATCAGGAGAGCCCTGAAAATCATGAAACTTTCTCCAACTGGTCTGTCCAAGGCGTGCATCCAACCTTTGGACCACCGCAGGAAAGTTGGTGCATTGACTCTCTTCCACCGTATGTACTACAGAGAGGCACCAGCCCTGCTAAATGACCTTGTTCCTAAACACAAAGAGGTGCGGCGGGTGACACGCCAGTCAAAATCCCATCATGAAAACACTCTGGTGGTCCCTGTCTCCCACACTAACAGTCATATGAGAACTTTTGTTCCAACAACTGTTAGGCTCTGGAACAGTCTTCCAAGGGAGATCGCTAAGATCAGGGACAGACAAAGATTCAAACGTGAAGTTAATTCTTTCCTCAGCGCAAAACTCTGACAGCGTTCTGTCTACTAAGGCAGTCCTGCTGCTAATGCTGAGTGAGAGCTGACATAGATTTAGAAAAATTAAAAAAATGTTCTAAACAATGGAAAGACGTTTTCATTCATCATGAACTTCATATAAAAATAACGTCAGAGTCCGGAAACAACAAAAGTCAGCAGCACAAATTTGACACTGGATCAATTAAA